TCTTTTGAGGAATATATACTATGTATGCACATACATAGAACTTTTAAACATCTTTGAGCCCTTTACCTTTCTACCCTTTCCTCTTCTCCAAAAAGTTCTCCTCCCTGTTTTCTACCATTTTTCTTTTTATTTTATTAAGTCATCCATATTTTAAGTTTTTCATTTAAAGAAACTGAAATATGTAACTTTCTGTGTCTAACTTATTTCACTTAATATATGATCTGTAGTTCCACGTATTTTCCTGCAAATGACATGATTTGATCCTCTCTTATGGCTGAATAGCAATGTATTGTGTGTATATGCCACATTTTCTTTATCATTTCATCTATAATGGGCATCTAAGCTGTTCAGAAGGCAGAAGAATTAACCTCGACCCACATCTCCCACCTTGTATTAAAATCAAATCAAAATGGATCGAAGACCTAGATACAAGACCAGAAACTTTAAAACTACTAAAAGACATCATAGGGGAACATTTGATGCCAGAGGAACATGCAAGGACTTCCCGAACAGATCTCCAATAGCATTAGAAATAATATCAAGAATCAACAAATGGGACTACATCAAACTAAAAGCTTCGGGACAGCAGAGACAACCCGTAGAATGGAAAAAACTTTTTGTCAGCTACTCTTCTGATAGAAGACTAATACCTAGAATATACAAAGAGCTGCTATTTTCAGCGTCCGCTCCCCAAGCCAGAACTTCAGTTCGTGGACCACACTGCCCCCTGCAGGCCAGATCATAACAACACTGAAAGGAACGGGTACAAGGGGCATGGCCGCGAAAGCAGGACCACGGAGCTAATTCAAGCTGAGACTAGCAGGTTTCCAGCCAATTCCAAGTATTTTTCTGGATTTATCTACAAAAATATATGCTAATGCTTTCCTAAAAGGGTATCAGTCTCACCCATTATAATATATACCCCATAGTTTCTTTCTATTTTATTCTGTAAGGCAAATTACAGATTTCTCAGATTGGAAACTAGAAGTACAAGTATTTTATCGGGTGAAATTAACTGTTCAAATATGTAACACATTTCCATTGTTGCCTTCTGTGCTATAATTAATATTTTAAGGTAAAGAGTTAACTCTTTACTTCTCAATTTGATAGCCACATTTTCCTTTCCACAATAATTGGTATTCAAAATTTCTACTTCTGAGGCAAAATTCTCAGTTACCACATAACACATTGTGGTATGAGTGCACTTAATATGCAAATTGCTAACATAATTTAATATTATCTTCCCTCCTGTTGCTCTTTAATTTGGTGTTGAACAGCTGAGGTTTGAGATTTTTAATCAAAGAGCATTGAATGAGGCAATTTATAAAATCGAATGGATTTTTTCAATTGTTTTACTCAGTGTTTATTGCTATCAAATTGTAAAATAATCTTTAAAATACATTAACTGACTGCTGCCCCTACAGTGTGACCATGCCTAAATGCAGAATTATTATCCAGTGGTACAGTGTAGTGGAAAAGTAGAGTATCATGCTCCCGCCCAGTGTGCAACCTGAGGCAGGTGAGTTGCCTCCTTAAGTCTCATTCTCATCATCTGTAAACTGGAGGTAATAATAGTGTCTCTTTCATATGGTCTTTGAGAGGATTAACGAGATAATCCGAGCAAAGCGTTCGCAAAGTGCCTGGCATGTAACAAGTGCTGAGCTCTTCTTTAGGTGATGAAACTAAGAGCTCATACTTAAACATTACTATCGCTACAGATTGTAAAGCAGAAATATTCTGAGAGCTGTACTGACCCCTGGGCTTAGCCAAAACAATCATAGCAAAAGCATGCAGAAGCGTCATTCTCAGCTCAGCACAGAGATTCGGTCCGACCAGGGAGCTGGTTCCCCACATGGTGCATGCCTGGGGCAGATAGGACAAGAAGTAACTGCAGTTGTGTGTATGCGGGTCTGGGGAGCAGCTGGCAAGGCTCGGGAGTTAGGCAAGGGCAGCCGGCTTCCAGCTGAGGTTGTACTAGAGGTTAGTAAGGGGAAGAGGGGAATGAGACAAGACAGACGGCTGGTCAAATTTGAGAAGATTGTCAACAGTCTAAGCAAAATAGCAATAGCTCAAACCCAGAGAATGAGGGCTGAGGTTTAACAAGACAGACAACATCAAACAGGAGCCAGGGCCTGGAACGCTCCCTAGGAAGCTCTTCACTGACGCATATCATCAGACTTGAAACAAAGCTCTTCATTCATTCATTAACAGGTAACATTGTGTGATTTTATTACATATAACACGATGTTTTGACGGACTGATGCCTTTGAAGCCAACTTGCTGGTTGTGTTCTTTATGACAGTTACAGTCAGTGTGGACCAAAGTCATCTTACTCCCTCCGTAAGCTCGAGATCTACTCACTAGGGGGCTGGGAAATGAAGCCTTCCTACCGAGGGCTCCCTCAGAAAACATGAACCCAAGAGATTCACCAAGCTGACCAAGGTAAGTCAGACTCCTCTTCCTTTCTTTGGGCACCTTTTCCCCAAGGGGCCTGCATGCCTCACAAGATGAAAGGTTGAAGCTTCCTGAAAGAAGTTCTTGGCAAAGTGATGATCATGGCTGATGAATAAAAAGCCTAGCTAGAGATATTGACTCCAAACAACTAAGCATAGTATCTTTAAAAATTATGCTGTGGATATTTTACCTGTCAGACAAACTAGAGACTTAGAAACTTCCCAACATCTTGTGTTTTTATCTTATATTTTGTACACTTAATGTCCTATCACTAACACTAAAGTCATTATCATAATCAGTAACCTCTATCAGAATTCTAGGCAGGGCCTGCTTGTTTTCTGATAGTTGATTCAGATAATGGTTTTTGAAAATCTGCTTTGACTCTCACTGTTTACCTACCATCTTGTCTAGTGAACCTGTATCATTTCTAATGGGGGTGTTATTCTTTATTCTCTTTAATGGTTTGATCCATCTTGCATTTTTACATCTGATAATCTGAGCAACTTCGTTGAAGATAACAATATGTAATATAACAACCATTGCTAATTTCTATCATTTTGTTCTGAAACCTTGTATCATTTTTATTGTTCTTGCTTTGTTTTGTCTATGTTGTTGGTATTTTGTGTTTTTTTATTATTCTCTTTAAAATAAAAAATTAAAAAAAGAGCGAGCCGCACTTCCACACTATTGAGCCATCTTTTCTCTATGACCTCAGAACTAAACGATAATGATAGCATGAAAAGCAGTGTGTCTCCCCATATTAGTCTGATGCACCTTCAAATCCAGTTGCTAAGAACATTTGAGGGAGAAAATACGGCCATTAAAAAAACATCATGAGATGGAGAAACTTGGCTAAAGAAGGTATAACTATTATCAAAGGTGTGCAGAGATATAAGTAAACATGATGACCCCCGCGAGGCGAAGTACGTGATTACTGCACAAAATACCTGAGGTCCTGGCATCAAAGTGGTGCAGTAGCGTCAATATAACACAAGGACATTTTCTTCACGGATTTAAATAAAACAAAAAGCTAAACATCCCAAAACAGCACTAAAGCCACTAGATAACTGGACGTAGCCCGAGGTGGCAATTGTCCTGAGATGGGATGTGAGAAGAGACAAATGCAATAAATTCAAACCTTTAACAGAGGCTTAAGAGAAAGACAAAGTGATTTTTTAATACTGAGTTCCCGTCATTCAAATCAAATCATCGAAGTCATTTAATTTACACTTTCTAGCAGCATTTACAGCGAAGGCATCTTGACAGTCAACTAGCACTGCATGCTTTACCCACAAATCAGGAGGAAACCCAGGCATTTTCCACTGTGGCTCACGTACGCCCTCTAGTGACCATAAGGTCAGTGAACATAAACCGTTCTCCCAGGAAACTGTCTTAAAATGTAAGTATTCACTAAATATTCAGTTTTGCTATCGGTTAAAGATAGATCCTTTGCAACTTTTATTTTCACAACTATAAACTCCTCCTAGTCCCTCTCACTAAGAACTCATACCTGGTTAAAACTATTAAAGAAGATGCAATTTAGTCATCTGAACACATTTCACATAAACGAACAGTTGCGTGATCCCACTATGAACGGTTTTGAGAGTCGAGAAACCTTTTTTTAGAACTTAATAAACACAATAGCAAAAGAGCAAATTAATATATTTGAAAATCATACACTTTATATATGTTCATTTCCCTTCTAACATTTCAGCATTTCAGTGACTGGTTAGAAATTACCATAAATGGCTAAATCCAAAAAACTAGTTTCTAAGTACCTGATGATTGATTTCCTCCAATGTTTGGTGTTGTTCTTTAGATAAAGACTTTCAGCAGAGTCCTTTATTCCTTAATCTTGTACTCAGAGGTTCTTAAATTGATAACCTGTGGGCTGACTGATCTGCAGGCCTGGTCCATTTAACTTAAATTTCCTTAATATTTGCCAACATGAATTTCTGGTGTTTTCTGGAGGACGGATTGCCTTTGGCAGCATCTGTCCTGTATCCCCACATGGCAGCGTGTTTCCAGGGCTGAACGGGCTGCCCTTTTAGGGGAGAAACCTACGAAATGCATTTAGCTATGTGTACACTGAGCTCACGTGCTTGCTGATCCAACCCCTGAGTCTGACTGTTTTAAGCTCTTCCTGTAAAATTTTTTGCTCTAATCCTAATAATCAAGCTAACCTTTTATCATATCAGCATAACACAATGCTACTAGAGGCACATACTACAAGACACATACCTTTATAAAGAAAACAACAAAAAACCCCACCTTTGCAATAGAGGAATATGAACTCGCAAGAGAGAAGTTCGTGTTGATTTCAAATGTAATCTATTTTCTCCAGACTTAGTAAAGTTCACTTGTGTTTATGAATTGTGCCTTTGTTCTGAGATGACAAAACCCTTCCTATGTAGCAAAAAAACACCACAGCTCCTGACAGTCACAGACCACTGCGCACATGCTCAGATTTCTTTCTTGGAGCCAGAGATCAAGCTATGGATAAATGGTAGCAAATCAGGCCGAGCAAATGGAACTATGACACTCACGGGCGTGCTGCTGTCGGAAAAGGTGTTCATGCTCACTGAGCTGCTCAGCTTGTCTGAGGAAACAGAGGGTGGGGATGGGCTCCTCTTCTCCAGGGCATCATGCCGCTGCAGGTACTCACGCCAGGCTCGCTGAATGCTGAAGAAGAAACAAAGAAAGGAAGAAAGAAAAAAAAATACACACTGTCACTCCCAGGTCACTGCTCATAGACTCAAAAAAAAAAAAATTGAATGGAAAGAAAAATGAAAAACTACAGGGAGTCTGAAGGAATTGGTTTTGGAGACAGAGAAAAAGAAACACAGAGAACATGCCTCAAGAAATCAGAAGAATGGGGTCTAACTCCACTTGGGCCACTAAGTTTCACTTTCTTTTCCTGGGTTAACTTTCACAGACTTGCCTGGGCTGACTCAGCCTAAACCAACTTGGAAAAAGTCATTGGTCAAAGTCAGAGTGGTGTGCACACACGAAAGCACACGGATTATGAGGCACAAAATCTTTCCATTTCTCATATTTCAAATGAGGATAATAAATAGTCTGGCGATCACATATTCATTCCGTCAACACATCATTTCTGAGGGCCCACTCTGTGCCAGGGTCAGCACTAGGCTCTGGACAGAGGCTCTGCGGTCCACAGAGCAAAGTAGTGTCATTTTCAGACCTCCAGGAGAAAGGTGGCGTCCGTGACATTTTGCTGTGCAATCTGTGTGGTGATACTGCTGGGCCTGCTCTCAGAACAGGACAGACAAGGCCCCTGCAGTCATGAATTTTACCTATTATGGGAGGAAATACGTAATGTGCAAGAAAGAAAGACTCTGAAGGAGTTCTGTACTACTAAAACATTAAAGTAACGTGATTAGGTGACTATGTAAGATTGCATTCAAGGAAATTATTTCCCATGATTAGTATCAGAAAAAGTCCTCTTCTACTTTGAGTGACAGAAACTTCTGAGGAGTGAAAACAAAGTGACTTTTCCCCCACTGATTGGCTCCTAGTCCTTAGATTAACATCTAGGTCTTTCACTTAGATTTTCATCTAAGTCATCACCTTTCGTAAGGATTAGCTGGACAAGCAGCCCAAGTGTCAAGATTCGGCCTTTTAAAATAGTTTGAAATAGCTGTATTAATTCCATCACCATCTCTTCTAGATGCTTGGGAACATCTGCCATGATGTAATTCTTCCACACACAATCTAAGTCACTAATGCTGTTTCTATACAAACAAATTGATGTTCTCATCTGGCTAGAATGATTCAAAGACCATCAATTCTCAATAGTCAGAGGACACAAAGGACACAAAAATGCTATCACATTATTGAGTCTGTATGGTTTCCCCCAATTAATTAAGGCTTTGTAAATTATAGTACCAAAGGGAGAATCCAGAAGCTGCAGTAAAAATCATGCCTTCGGATCAGGTCAGCTTCTTTGAAGCTAGGAAACCTCAGCCTCTTCTATGACCCTATGAGGAGTTCTTCATGGTTTGCATAGAACCGCAAAAGTAAAATTATTTGAGTGTCCTCCAAATTATATATACTTCAAACCCCACTAAAGCAGGTTGTCATCATGCTTTGAATTGAATTATATTTGGTCACTGTTTTATTACACAATGCTTGACCAAAATCAATTCTCTCTCTTTTTCTCTTTTCTTCTCCTCTTGCTCCTCTTCCTCTTCCTCCTCTCTGCCTCTCTCTTCTGTTTCTCTCTGTCTCTGCCAATATTTTAAACAGAATCTTAAAGAAGTCTTCTGTAAGATAACCGTCAGAAGTTTGTTTCTTCCAGGATCTATTTTATTTAAAAATAGCAAACTTTGGGAAGTTACTAGTGGTTCCACAACATCTGCAGCTTTTGAGGTCTCCTAAGGTCCAACTAAAAAATTCTCCCACTTGAGGGCACCTAAGTCAATAAGTTTTCCTATTAAGGGCTCAAAAGGTGTAACTCTTGAAAGGCAGTTAAGAACTCACATGTGTAAACATCGAAATGTCTCCATAACGTAAGAAACTGAAAGAGTAAATAAGATCTAAAAGGTACAGTAGATATTGTGAAAAGGAAAGAAACTGCTCAAAAGGAAAGAACAATTGGGGTGGGGGAAAAGAGAAAAGAAGGAAGGAGAAAAAAATACACACACACATATACACACACACAATAGCTAAGATAATTGTACTACTAATTCTATTAGTTCATTAAAAGGAACAGTTAGTGCTTATATTGTTTGATCAATCTTACATGCCTGCATCTGGTAATCTGAGCAACTATTTTTTTTTATTTTTTATTTTAAAGCCAGTAGTAAATGAGAAACAAACAAACAAAGAAATAGAACAGTAGCAGCATACCAGTATCACAAACAGAAACAAATCAAAGCAAGAACATTCAAAGTGACACAGAGTCTCAAGACAAAATAATAGGAATCAACAGTGGTTGTTACATTACATATCGCTATCCTCAACTACATTGCTCAGATTACCAGATGTAAGAATGAAAGATTGTTCAAACCATTATAGGGAATAAGAAAATAATTCTTCGATAAAACAGTAGAGATAATCCAGAATTTCACTAGACAAGATGGTAGGAGTTCACCATTGTAATTCCATTGCATATTATTACCTTCAAATCAGTTTGAGCAACTATTTTGAAGCTAACAATACGCAGTATAATAACCGTTGTTAATTTCCAATCATCTCGTTTTGAAATTCTGTATCGTTTTGTTGTTTATTCTCTTTAAAATAAAAAAAAACGAAAATATTGATAATCCATAGTTATCAATTATGGATCATCAAAACGGATTATCAGAATATTGATAATCCATAATATAAGCATGTTTATAAAATTTCAAGGCATTCTACTCTCTCCTTTTTTCTTTTAAAGAAAAAAGAATTACCATGATTATTAGAAAAATAAGGGACCCACAGCGGCCGTTTGTAGTAGTATTACATTTAACTTGTTGAACAGCAGGGGGCGGCGTTGCACCTTTAAAGAACTAAGCAATGCTGAGCAAACCCGAGGCTGAGAGTTTTGCAAAGAGCTTTCTTAAGCATCCCCATTTCCCTCCTAGTCTTATGGAATCTGGAAAGTGACACAAGTTTCCTTACATCACAGATGAAGCAAACAACAGTCTTTTCATTTGTCGGAAGGAGACTTTCAACTCACAAAAGAAGGTAACAATACTTAATGCTTTTAAATTGTTTGTTAAAAACATTGCTATGCCCACTGATTTCCACAATACAAGAATATTTTATTCTTTAATATTTAACATACAGTCATTGCCCATATATATAGAAATAATCCTTCTTCATAGAAAGCACATTATATCTTATTCTTTTTCAAATTTAACGTAACAAATATTTCCCATGTATCATATATCCTTCATAATCACAGTTTTAAAGGTTGGATGACGTCTTTAAATGGGTATCCGAGGTGAAAATAACAAGTTATTTGCACCATATTATGCTGTAACCCTAAGTTACTACATTTCTTAGTGATAGAGCCATGATATTATGGCTATGTGTGCATAGCGGTGCACTTCTGTAACCCCAGCACTCAGGAGGCTGAGGCAGTGGGATTGCGATGAGTTTGAGACCAGACAGGGATACAGAGCAAGATCTTGTCTCAGAAAGAAAAAAAAAAGAAATAGAGAGAGAAAGAAAGAAAGCGGACGGCCTCAAATATGTCCAAATATTTAAGAAAACAATACTTAGTAGGCACACAGCTTTATTTTCTCCAACTTTCCAGTCATTCTTCACTATGAGTGGGTTGTGAGAATGGCATATTATTACAGTGGTAGGTTTTGCCTGCCCAATATTAATATTTCCCTCCTTTGCTTTGTTCCAGCTCCTGTCTTCCTTTAGGGACCCACCAGCTTTCGGTCTATGAGCTTTGGATGAGGCAGATCCTGCCTACCACTACAGAGTGTGGCCCATGTGCCTGGGATGACCAACCAGAGGGCAGCAACTGGCTTAGGAATACTGCTATGTTTGGAGGCTAAGTGTCTCCTGCAGGCCCACGTGTTAAAGGGTTATTCCAGAAGGTGGAAGGGCCTCCTTGAGGCCCACCTCAAGGTGGGCCTAATGGGAGGTCCATAAGTCAGTGGAGCATACTCTTGAAAGTATTATAGGCCCCAGTCTTTTCCTCTTTCTTCTGCTCCCTGGCTTATAATGTAAGTGGTTTTGCTCTGTTAGGCCAGCTGATCATGTAGAGAACTTCTAAAATTATAAGTCAAAATAATCTTATTCTCTTTACAAATGGATTGTCTTGGATATTTTGTTACAGTGACAGAAAGCTGACCAATACATAAGCACATATACCTCAAGCCAGGCCAGTGAAAGACTGATCTGGGACTTATTACAGAGACTATTGAGAAAGAGTACCTCTCTCTCCTCTTACGAGTTTTGGTAGGTAGGACATAAGTTAAAGGTATTAGTGGTCACTTTGTCACCATACTGAGAGAGCCCATGTATAGTGAAGCAGTCCTATAAAGAAGAGAGCTTACATGGTAAGAAAGACAGATGTCTGATGACCTTGCTTCACCACTGAATCTAGTGGTGAATGATGGTCCTTTATCCTATGTCTCAAGGTCACTCTCCAATGTCACAGACTTTATCTTAGGACCTTCTGACATATGTTGGTGGATGCAGAGGAGAGCGAGGATAACTACATTATAAAATCTGCCCTCCTGAAGCCTCCTGTCCCTTTACTGATGAGGACAGCACAGTGAGTTTCACTGCAGGGGCTTGATGCAGCCCGGTCTGCAAGCCCTGAGCAGGGATGGTGGGAACCTGGGCAGGCCCAGCTCTGACTGTAAAAGGTAAGGCAGGATGAGAACAGTTCTCAAGTGTGCGCTGCTGCACTGCAGCTGAGTGAATAAGAACTCCAGGCTGGCTGGGGTGGGCAGGAAAGGCTCTCAGTTAGTTCTTCATATTCATATTCAGGCAACATGAAAGGACTTGATAGGAAAGCGTAAGCCTGTATGTGACAGTGGGAAGTATCAGTGTCAGGAAGGGCATGTTACCCGGCTCGGGAATATGACTGCTAAGAAGTAATTTTGAGTTTTAGTCTTGGAGGATCAAAGGCCTGTGTCAAAAGGGCAAAAGCAATTAGGATCGCACAGTTATTAAAGAAAAGGATTGTGGGAAAGTACAAGGCGCTCTGAAGATCAGGCAAAGGCAAATCACACAAGCTAGACAGTTTAGTGAAAGCAAAACTAACAGTGAAAGCACCCAAGTGAGGGCTTTCCTGGAAGCTCTGAGACCAAAGGTGAATGTGGCCTCTAGAATCAAGGCTGGAGCAGGTTTGGGGACAAAGGTGCAGGACATATGGCGGTGTGGGGTGCAGCTCAAAAGAAGGAGCAGGTTCTGGTCCTGTCAAGCTGCTGCCCTTCTCGTCAGGGCCAGGATCCGCATGTTGTGACAATGTCCGCCAGACATGAGCTACTTGCACAATCTGTTCGCATCTATGGATGTTCATAATGCGAGCCCCAAATCTGTGAAAGTTCATAATTTGAATGTGGGTGAATCAGGGACTTACTGTATATGTCTCTTGTTCAATCACAAAATGAGTATATTGTTAAAACTCTTGAAACACATTTGCCCATGGGTATTTCTGCTAGGTGATCCTATATAGTCCTTTCTACATGTAAGTTAGTTTGAATTATGTTTCTGTCACAACCAGGGATCCTTCATAAGTTTCGGGGAACAAGATGGGGGAATTCATCACCAGACCTAACACATGGAACAGACCCTCACTGTCCTCATTACATATTATTTCTGTCCTATGATTTAGCAAAAGAGGAAGACATATCAAACACTGCCAAGTAGTTTGAGGAAAGAGGTGAAAATCATACACATTGACGTGATATTCTGGATTCCAGAGATATTTACTGGCATGATTTTTGTTAGCCCAAGTTGACATACAAATATACTGTTGGATGAAGAAGATACATTTGGGTGAAAAAACAAACACTAGGCTAAATGTTGTTCTTGGATTTTCTTGTTGAAGGCTCACTGTAATCCCATAAGACACGGTCACTGCTGTCGTGTCACAGAGGGATACAGTTGGGGCCCAGAGAAGTTGCAGTGTATTCGATGTCATGCAGCACTGAGCAGGGCTGAAATTTGAACCTAGATTGCTCATATTTCAAAGTCTGCTCTCAACCATTCTTCTTTAATATCATCTTTTAACTTCTAAATTTTTGGGTAAAGTAGATGGACATTATGCTCAAACAGATGCAATTTAACAAGGCTTTATTGGGGAATACTGTATCATCAAAGTTATTTGAGGGGTTGTTTTCCTTCTCCAAAATCTCTCTCTCTCTCCCCCTCTCCCTGTCCCCATCCCTCTCCCTCTCTGTCTTTCTCTGTATAGAATCTAAGTATTGTTTCCTCATAAAATCAGGGAAAGATTTTATTTTATTAATAAAATTCAGGGAAAGAGTTGAACTATTTAATGAGCAGATTTTCAAAAGATGATCTGCATTCAATACAATAAGTCCCTGACTTATGAACAAGTTTTGTTCCAGAGGACAATCGTAAATTGGATTCATTCCTAAGCCCAACAAAATAAGTCTCATACCTTTGACACAAATATACAATGTAAAGCATAAAAAAACAAACACACACACAAAAATATGGCACACTATCGCACTGTACAGTAAGTACACAGTGGCATTACTGTGACAATACTCGCCAGACACGTGAGCTACTTGCGCAATCTGTTCGCATCTATGGATGTTCATAATGTGAGCCCCAAATCTGTGAAAGTTCACAATTTGAATGTGCATAAGTCAGGGACTTACTGTATATGTCTCTGGTTCAATCACAAAATGAGTATATTGCTAAAACATAAGGAAAAATGTTGCAAACAATGGTGAATGATGTCTAAGTGATAGTTTGTACTGAGAAGATATGCTTGAGATCTTGCTACAACATGCGGATCCTGGCCCTGACGAGAAGGGCAGCAGCTTGACAGGACCAGAACCTGCTCCTTCTTTTGAGCTACACCCCACACCGCCATATGTCCTGCACCTTCGTCCCCAAACCTGCTCCAGCCTTGACTGTAGAGGACACATTCACCTTAGGTCTCAGAGCTTTATGGAAAGCCCTCATTCGGGTGCTTTCACTGTTAGTTTTGCTTTCACTAAACTGTCTAACTTGTGTGATTTGCCTTTGCCTGATCTTCAGAGCGCCTTGTACTTTCCCACAATCCTTCTCTTTAATAACTGTGCGATCCTAATTGCTTTTGCCCTTTTGACACAGTCCTTTGATCCTCCAAGACTAAAACTCAAAATTACTTCTTAGCAGTCATATTCCCGAGCCGGGTAACATGCCCTTCCTGACACTGATACTTCCCACTGTCACATACAGGCTTACGCTTTCCTATCAAGTCCTTTCGTGTTGCCTGAATATGAATATGAAGAACTAACTGAGAGCCTTTCCTGCCCACGCCAGCCAGCCTGGGGCTCCTATTCACTCAGCTGCAGTGCAGCAGCGCACACTTGAGAACTGTTCTCATCCTGCCTTACCGTTTACAGTCAGAGCTGGGCCTGCCCAGGTTCCCACCATCCCTGCTCAGGGCTTGCAGACCGGGCTGCATCGAGCCCTGCAGTGAAACTCACTGTGCTGTCCTCATCAGTAAAGGGACAGGAGGCTTCAGGAGGGCAGATTTTATAATGTAGTTATCCTCGCTCTCCTCTGCATCCACCAACATATGTCAGAAGGTCCTAAGATAAAGTCTGTGACATTGGAGAGTGACCTTGAGACATAGGATAAAGGACCAGAGTCACAAAGCTTAGAGCCATTTAAAAGAAACCGCCTGGAAGCATAACTATTGCCATCGATAGGACCCTGGCAACCTTGGCGCCTAGCACATGGGAAGTGGGAGAGCTGATTCTAGCAGAGGAAGGAGGAGGGAGGAAGGAGGAGCAGATGAGGAGGAGAGGGGAGGGGAGGACAGGGGAGCAGAGGGGCAGGCTAATGGAAAGGAAAGACCTCACATGCGTGCAGAGAGGAAATGCTCAACCTGCCAAGGGAGTTAAGGATTTAATAACCAGATTAGACAAAAGTCACTGAACTGGAGTGAATTCTCTGATGGGACTCAAATTCCATTATTGGGCAAGATTAAGGTTTTTCTCTCTCTCACCCCCTCCAGTGAGTAGAAATGGGGTGCAGAGTTATTAGATGAGACAAAAGCCATTCATTTGTACCTCACTGAGCTGAGACTCCTCCATCAAACCAGCAAACATGAAATCATAAAATCCCAGGTTCCCTGAGCTGGCGGGAAATAAAGGCTCAAGGAGCTTTTCTCTGCCTCCTCCTCCTCCTCCTGGCACCTGCCCCTCTGCCTCTATAGACTGGAGACAAAGAAAGTGAAAAAAGACCAAGAGGTTTTCCTAACTTAATTTCAGCACTCAAATTAAACACTAATTTTTCATAACCAACTTTCCTTCCCAGCACTTTTTCATTTAACAAGACCTTATTTTAATGAGCAAATTTCTGATAATAGAGAATCCTACTTTTGAAAACTAGAGTCTGTATAATGAAGCTGACACACGTTTAAATATAGTGATTTGATAGTTGGATTTACTCTGATCAGTAAGTGTCGCACAGAGCTATTTAGCAGGAGACCAGCTGGCTCAGAGCCATGTTTGGGCTTATCTTAAGGGGTTTCCTTACATGCAAAGGCAAGCTGCTTACCAATGACTAAGGGTAACATATAGATAGATAGACAGACAGACAGATAGATAGATAGATAGATAGATAGAGATAGAGATATTTTCAATTTTTTAAACAAGGCCTTTGATGTGTAGCCTAGGCTGGTCTTGAACTTATGGCAATCCTCCTGCCTCAGCCTCCCGAATGCTGGGGTTATATATAGGCATGTACCACCACACCTGGTTTGCAGAGGTGTATATTAATATTTGCTTCTACTCAGCAGGATACTGTATATCTGTGAAATTTCTGTTTTAATCCCTTAATCCAGCAATGATGTATTGTTTTTCAAAGTTGGAAACCTCAAGACACCCTTTTTCTTGTAAATGATTCCTCACTAGTTTTTTTTTTTCTTTCCCAAATGATCAATTCTGGTCAAGTTTTGCCCGTTTAAGTATTTAACTGTTAAAACACCTTTTTAGAGTGTGTATATGTGTTTGTCTTGTGTATATGTGATATTATATACACCATTATTGGAAGTTCAGATTTACGCTCTGAAGGAGTATCAGAATGGGAAAGGATCACAGACATCACAAATGAATAGCTTGGGATTACTTCCAAAGAGATTCTGTAGGTCCCTTCTTTACTTAAAAATAGTTTTAAACTAGGTCAGTATTTTGCTCTATAACAGAGCTGTATCCTTGTGGATCTTCTCATTAATTTTTGTTAATATTGAGGTGTTGTTAGCACTATTTTAAATAGTAATTTACATTTGAGGAAAGGATTTGCATTTGGCTTAATAAGAGGATATGAAAGAAAGGGATAGTGAATGAGAAAGGAAGATAAATTTTACCCAAAGTAATTGGGTAAGAGTTGGAATACAAACGGAAATAAGAACATGATTATAAATATTTGTGTGTGTGCACACGCACGTGTGCATGCGTGTTTGTGTGTTTGTGTATGTGTGTGTAATAAAGAGATGGCATGAGGTTTAAAGAGCAAAGTTGTTCTGAGGTAGAATTAATCAATTTACCAAGATGAATGACAGTATAAAATGCTAGTAGAAGTTGCAGAATCGTAGTGTACTTGTCTGAAACAGAAAACCTAACACATGCAGAAGAAACAGAAATCAAAAAACTCTGTATATTACCAGTCCATGGTTCTGTAAGCCCAAAGCAGGTTTGTTGCTGCTTAAAATAAGGAGGAAATACTGTTCAACATGTAAATGTGAACTAAAGGGATGTGTAATTCTGCACTCAAAAATTTTAGATTTGTTCAGAAATTCAAAAACAAGAACTTACATTTTCACCTTTGATTCCAAGGGCTGTAGATTAAGAGGATACTTTTCAATATTATTCTCCACATCCATGGCCAGCTGGTGACTAGAAACAGGAAGAATATCTCAATAAAGATCAGTTTAGGAAGTTAACATTTCTGGCAATAATACTGTTAATGTCCATGTTTTGGACAAGGCAAAATAGATTCAATTTTGTTTACTTGAATTAATCAAAAGAATCCTAAAAATGGATGATACATAAATTGCTACACTCTAGGAAGAAAACACTGCTTTTCCTTCTCCTTTTGCTAGCCTTTTAACCTCTACCACTCAACTCAATATGTATAGCTAAAGCATGAAAATCATTTCCTCTAGAAAAAGAAGAGGGACGTAGAGTAGTTGATCATTTCAGAAGGAGATGAAACATTAAGTGTTACACACTCCATGACACTGGCCAACTAGTAAGTTGTAGAGAAGCTTCCTTTATCCTCAGGGTGTCGCTACCATGGGATCCTTTACCTATGTGTTGTTTCCAAGTCCCTGCTGTAAGCAAAACATGAACTCTAGACAGACGGTCACTGCTTCCAATGAGCTTCTTGGACTCTCACTGGGACTGCACTGCAAGGGGACGGAGGCCTTAAGCTGAGTGTTGAAGAATGGACAGGGGTAGGTAAGTTCAGACTAAAAAGTAATATGTATGGGGAAGAGATATTGAGATATTAAGTACAATGAACAGTATAGGTGAAAAAATCAGAGGCTATATTTAAAAATTAAATCAAGCAGTTTAACACAAATGGATGTTAAAAGTGAGAATATAAAAGGAAACAAGTTTGGAAAAACTGAAAACTAATAATTTTTGGTTGCAGAACATGTGCAAAACACTTGCATGGGTTCTTCTTTTGGTACTGAGAACTGAACCTAAAAGGACTTTACCAGTAGGTTACATCCCACCCTTTGGTTTTTAATTTTGAGAATGGGTCTCGGTGAGTTACTCCAGCTAGCCTCAAACTTGTGACCTTCCTGCCTCAGCCTTCTGAGTAGCTGAGATTACAGGCATGTGCCACCACCCCAGGCTTGATGCAGCCATTTTACATGTATTACTTTATTTAACTCTCACAGAAACATCCACAAATTTGGCATGATTTCCGTATTGTATACGTAGGAAACAGGAATCTCAGTGAAGCTGAACTCACTGTACAGAAGAAGCCATACTGAAACTCAGGTTCTGCTGCTGTCTCACTGTAGGACACTAGTTGGAAGCTGTTGGTATCAGGCTCATGATACTCAATTTATTAATTTCAGTTTTCGGAGGCCATATATTGCACATCCATTCCAATACACATGCACGTGATAAGGTGTGTGTGTGTTTGAAACAAACATTTTAAGAAATCTTATGTCTCCAATTATATATGACATAACTTGATTTTTTTATTTTCAGGGCTTTTAAGGCCTGTAGTAACACACCAAGTTGATTTAACAATCAATGGATTGTGATATTCAGTATGAAAAAAAATTCCTGCAAGAGAATACAATGAAAGGGACATTTAAGAGTGTCTTGCAGTGGGAGTAAGGAAGAAGAGTGAAGAGAAGCTACTTAGAAGACTATGGAGATTAGCCAAGTAATGAGAACCAGGGTTGTGATGGCAGTAAAGAAAACCAAAAGGTAAGGAAGCAATTTTCCTGGAACTACCCCTTAGGGTCAAAAATACATTTTCTACTTCTCTTTAGCAAGGAATAGCCAGGCAGCTGGGAAAGCACGAAAGACCAGATAAATTCCACCAGCCTCTAGGTGGTGCTGTGAACTCAATATAGCTTTGTGGTTGCTCCCTCAGCCTGATTATTAAGAAGGGGAAAAATTCACCACTTACTCTCTGCCCTCGATACTCAGAGTCCATTATTAATTCTTCATTACATACTTGTTCTAAAAATTGAACATCATCTGTGTGCCGGGAATGACAGAAAGCCTGAGAGATAAAATGGTGAGAACAATGGACACAGTTCTTATTCTTAGAGTCTAACAATGTAGATGGACACCAAACAGGTAATGACAGTGTGATGCATATTATCAGAGAGGAAAAACACATGGGGACCTAACCCAGGGTAGGCGGATATGGGAAGCCTCATTTTTATAACTCTCTGGTCTCATAGGGCCAAAAGCCTCCTACAAGGGTACCATACGATTCTGCTAATGAAACATACTATTAACTATACACTAGCAAATTGGGTACTAGAGATATATGTGAGTGTTTTGTGGATCAGTAGCTATGCAATTACAAAGGTAGTATTTTCATAAAAGAAGAAAAGTGTTATATTAGCAAATTTACTAATTTGACAGTATAATTTGTACATCCTCAAGAACCTACAAATACTTATTGGATTAATTTGGATAGCACTAGTCCTACATAATTGCCTGTGGTTAGTAAAGTGATTAAAAATCAGTAGAATATCTGACTTGCAAGCATACATTTCCTACCAGAGATGCAGCATGATTCGATAATTATAAAAAATGGCAGTGAGCCTAAGGTCATACTTAAGTTAATAAATGATTATCATAAATAATAGAGTCATAAGCAGTCTCCTAATTGATAAGCAGGCTCCTTACCAATCACTGTTCTCTGTCTCTGGGCACATGCCAAGTTTTACTGAGTGTGTGTGTGTGTGTGTGTGTGTGTGTGTGTGTGTGTGTATGTATGTATTTCACTAGCCTCAAGTGACCCTACATATGGTGTCCAGTTGTATGGAGTTGGAGCTTCCCCTCCCTTCACACTGACTGCTACCACAAAACCCTGCTGAGCACTCAGAATAAGTGTAATGTTCCAAAGGGGAATAACCGATCGACTGCTATGACACCATTATCACTTAACTTATGGTCACTTTGAGTAGCTGAGATGATTTACATCAGCACCTAAGTCAGCTACAGCTATAATGAAATGCCTAATCTGCTCACTCAAAGTACACCAATGTTTCAATCAAAACTGACAGCTTTCAAGGACACGGGGAAGCGGACCGAGAAAATCTTCAGAAATCTATGCAAATGGGTGTAGTTGTTAGAGCTGATGGCCCCTACTTATGTCCTCTCTGTTCTACATAAGCATGAAGGGGAAGGTCTCTCTACATATCTGGGTGTTTTGAGGGGAGGGAATTCTCATACCTGAAATTCCTCAGTCATGACTGAGAAAAATAAGCACACAAAACAGACTGGTCATTTCCACAAGCTTTTAGCTTTCTTCAGGTCTCTGGATAATAAAGGGGGAAGAGAAGGCAGGTAGGAGCAGAAGCCTACACATATGCCCTTAATTTTCACTTATCTTCCTTACAGCAGATTGCTGGGAAAGATGCGTATTTGTAGTAATGAGAGGTTTAATATAGAGTTCTGATCAATTAGCAGGAAAAAAAAACCTTTGGATTTCATTTCCTACATTAAAATCAATAATGAGGAACTGACATAACCAGGCCTAATAAACAAATGCGCTGAACATCACAGAGACAGGGTGTCCTCTGAGAACTGAGCTACATGAGGAGATTACTGAATAACTGCAAGAAATCTAAAATGCACCGACACCGTTTTTAGCCCCAGATCCTCATTACCAGCACCTGAATGAGCTGTTAAGAAACACCGGTTGCAGGGCCGCTCCCCAGAGATTTGGTTTCATTTTATCTGGGGTGTGGCTGAAACCAAAGCATTTTTATTGATTCTGAGTGTCGCCAGGGCGAAGAACCACTGACCCGGACCTAATGTCATCACGACACAAGTGTTCATAGAAGAGAAGCCTTTCAGCTGTCAGCTAAAAACCCTTCGCTACTATTGTGGAGATAGCTAATGATGACGGTGATTGGGGAAGACTGAACTATTTTTTCTTCTTTTAATTTATATTGTTTACTTTAAAAAATAAATTTATGTCTTTACATAAAAACACTGTGCATATTAATGGGGTAATTATGATGATGTTTCCATGTTATATGATGTTTCCATGTTTATACACTGGGTGATATTTAAATCAAGTTAAACATATCTATCTCCTCATTTATCACTTTTGTATGATGAGCACTTTCACTATATCTTCCCCTAGCTCTTTTGAATGTGCTTTAATTACTTCTATCTGTAGTCACTCTACTGAGCAATCACACACTAGAATGTCTTGCTCCTAACTGTAACCAGAACCCACTGATAACCCACCCCATCTCTATCCCTTCCCACTACTGGCTCCCTGACTTCTAGGGACTTCCATTCTATTTCAGCTTCTATGAGATTGACTTTTTTGGACTTCACTGCATGGATAAGTTCATATAGAATTTATCTTTCTGTGTCTGGCTTGCTTTATTTAACGTAACATACTCTAGTTTCATCCATGGTGTGGCAAATGACAGGATTTCATTCTTTTTATGACTAAATAATATTCCACTGTGTGGATGTGCCACATTTTATTTATCCATTCGTCAGCACTTTGATTGATTCCATTTCTTGGTTATTGCACACAGTGCTACAATGAACGTGGGAGTCCAGATGTCTCTGACATACTTATTTTATTTTCTTTGAATATACCCAGGAGTGGGATTGTTGGATCATATGTTTGCTTTATTTTTAATCTTTAAAGAACCTCTATAATGTTTTCCATAGTGGCTGAACTATTTCATTCATGTTTATTCATATTAATGAGAATAGGCGTAAGAAGGGTAAGTGAAATCTATAGGTTACCCAGAAACTGTTTGATCAAAGGGTTGGACCTTCCTTTCTGGGAAGCTGTCTGGTCCAAACACACACTCAGGTGGGAAAGGAAGGGAAGCAGCACGGAAAGCACAGAGTCACCATGGGTTGTCTCATTTGATGCCCTCAAGAAGGTTGCCAAGTCAGTAGCATCACCTTTCCTTTGGAGGATGAGGAATCTGGCCTGCAAGGTGGTTAAATAACTTGTCAAAACTTACAAAACTAGGGAAAGGCAAAAAGGGGAGTCAAACCCAAGGTTTTCCATTTTCACAAATGTTGTAACAACATTAAGGTTTGCCTTTGCATTCCTCTTGGATACTCCTAGTGCCTGTCAGCTTACTCATTAACAAAAGGAGTCCATTCTGTTGTGGGATAGCCTGAAGTTTTATAAAAGCTGTCGTGTTTTTCTGAGCCACAAGGGCATTCCTCATCTATCCTATTCATGGATCCTTGTTCTGCTGTCTAGAATAAGAAGAACAATTCAGTCCCTCCTTTACAGGAACGTTCCTTCAAATATTTAATAACAGCTATGTTGATCATTCAGAGACGTTTTCCTCCAAATGACACATCCTCAGTTCTTTTCGGTAGTTTCACATGGCTCTAAACACTCACAGTTTTAATTTACTTCCTCTGGAACTTTCAGGGATGTCAATATGCTTTTTAAATGCAGTGTCCAGGGAGCTGGGGATTTAGCTCAGCGGCACAGCACTTGCCTGGCAAGTGCAAGGTTGTGAGTTCAATTCCCAGTACCGGAAAAAAACAAACAAACAAAAACTACAGCGTCCAGAGCCAAGCGTGACAGTCACCTGGGGTTCACTGGTTCAGGGTACGTTGGGACTTTGCCAAGAGCTGAGAGCAAGGGCTCTGGAGGCAGCCAAACCTGGGTGTGGTTACCATCCCTACCTCTCATGAGTGGCATAGACTCAGACAAGTTGCTGAAAACTCTCTGAGCCTTTTTCCTCATCTATAAAAAGGAAATAAGAATGCCTGTATGAAAGGCCATAATCCGAATTTGATGAGTAAATGTCTTTCAGTATTAACAGTACAGAGACCTTCTAAATCCACAGTAAATGATGGCTATGTTTTTCCTCCCTTACATTGAGAACACATGTCTATTACTCAGTCTAACATTATGCTAATATTTTAGAAGCCCTGAAGACCATGAGCTAGGTTACTGGCAAATAAACCTCTGAGCATTTACCCATAAACTGAAATCAGGATATTCTCATGTGTTCTAATCCCAGTGTAGCCCATGGGTTGGACACAGTTGATTTCCTGGGGCTGCACTGAGTGAAGAGTTGTTTCCTTTGGATGTGTATAAAATGCGTAATAAAAGGTATATAAATATCAACATGTCATCTACAAATATTTTTATTGTAACATAGTCATATCCAACCTTCAGGCCTCAAATGGGACATTCCTGCTTCAAAATCCGAGTGGAAGACATGACTGCATTTTTATCTCTGTTCAATTTCCTCTCTTTCTCTCTGTTTTTTTTTTAAAGCTCTTTCATTTTATTGTGTTATTTTGAGTGTTTATTCTATTAGTTTGGGGTGATCCTTGAACTTCTTGCAATTTTTATGCATCCCTCTATAAATATTCTTGTGTAAAGCTATAGATAGAGCAGGGTTAATTTTCAAGCCTTCAAGCTTTCAAGCCATAGGAGACATCTAAGTGTCATATTAATCTATGAATCAGCAGAGCTTGCTTTTCATCACTTAATTAGCCTCAAGCCTGTCTAGCTGTATTTTAAATGAGCCATTTTACTTGGCCTAATCACAAAGATATCGTGAGAAACTATCATATGTACTTAATCAATTTTGCCTTGCCAAGTATTTTTTATGTGAGCTTTTTTCAACCTAGAAACTTATTTAACTTCCTTAGTATTTTTACTTACTTTTCAAGCAAATATTTCCCATCATTCACTTGTACTAATGGATTCTGCAATCTTTTCAGTTCTTCCTGTAAAGAAAGAAAAGAAATATCTTACAAATTGAAATCATGTACTTCTGACAATATTATTTGAGGGTAATCTTCAGCAAAATCAAGATTACACACCATTAAGAGGCCTGTTGTTCGCAATGGCTATGTATTTAAGCACGCAATACAGTTTAATCCTTGATTAACTGAAATGTAATATGGTCACTTAAACTGTTTTTTCCTAACTAATGATAATGCTTCCTGTTACTTTTCTAGAGTGCAGATATATTCATGTGAATCCATATATCCTTTCTCTAGAGTTACTGCCAACAATATTGTTTGCTAATTGCTGGATAAGAGACTAATGAATGTGTTCATGTCTTGTCCATTCTGCAACCATCCTCTTTTGGTAACCTCCTCCCTCTAGTCCATGTACACACACACACACACACACACACACACACACACACACACACACACACCCCTCCTCTGCACTTTTTCAGGCACCTATCCTCAGGTGTCTGTAATCTCATTTTTATGCCCACAGAAATGTGATAGAAGTTGGCTCAGTTTCCCAGTGAAACTGCTGGTCCTCAGGCTTATCAATCACGGAAGATTCAAAGGCTTCCAGAACTCTGTTCCTGGGAAGACCACCATCTCCTGAAGCCACTCTACTTTCCTCAGTGCTAGAAACTGCTGAAGTAACCAACCCCAAGAGGTAGCCACAGTTGGAACTATAGTCATACTACTGGGGGGGGTGCTTCCAGGATCCATATGGATACAGAAATCCATAGATGCTCTAGTCCCTTCCATAAAGCAGTACAGTATTTGTACACACCCTACACACCTGTCATATATTCTCATCCACTACGACATGATCTCTTTCACCTCATACTAAGTTGTACGTTCTAGAACGTGACCCAGTCGCCCCCTCCTCCTCAGTCCATCCAAATTTTCCACACGGCTCTTCACAACTAACAGTCTGCCATCAGCAAACTTTTCTCTCTTCAACTTCTTTAAATACTCTCTTAATTATCCTGCCCTAGCTGAATTGTGCCTTGCTGTTTTGTAGACAGCTATGTTTTTGTTAGATCAAGAAGATGAAGGAAATGTTTAGAAAAGGGTTGTAGAGTTGCCCCCATTGTAGGATACAGAGAATTTTCTGATGGTAAGAATGGCCAAATCACTCAGCTCACTTTCTTTCCTACAGTCCCCTTAAGAGAGGGCCAGGTGTTTTCCACATGCTCCATATTACATGGTCGAGAGGAAGAGGAGCCCTTTTTGCTCTACATGGCTGCTTCCAGATCCTCCCCATTAATTTAAAAAAAACTAATTTCCTCTGCAAATATGCCGGCCATTTGTCCTGTGCCTCTGTCTTCTTCTCTCCCTTATTTATCCTTACGCCTCTGAGCAATCACATTCGGCCTCATTGGTCTAACTCCACATTTGCGCCTGACCCTTCCCTGTCCCACTCTTCTGCATTCACCTGCCTACCCAGCGTTTTATGTGCATGTCTGACAAGCATCTCAAGCTCAAAACCAAAGTGTCGATTTCTCTGCCAATACCTCCTAACCAAAACCTCTTCACTGCTTCTTCCTCGCTTAAGCAAAAGGCGTCCCTATTCACCTAGCTATGCAGAACTAAAATCTCTAGTCAGCCTTTTCTCCTTTCTTCTTCTCACTATCCAGTCGATCAGTTGTTTAATCTTATTATCTCCATTTTCAGAATATATCTGGGATCTGCTCGCATCCTGGTCTTATCTAAGCCAACAGTGGCAACTGTCTACCAATCTCCTGCTTTCCATTTAATTCTCCCTATATCAATCAAGGTAATGGTTCAGTAACAGCTTTTTTTTTTTAGTTGAAGTATAATTTAAAAACTTAAAATTCACACATCAAATTAAGAGTTTTGTCAAATGCATACACCGATAGAACCACTGCCAAAATGGTATTTAGAACATCCTTTTTCCAGAATGTTCCTTTATGTCCTTTTACAATTAAGGCCCCCCCTCCTAATGACAGTTCTTTTCTAATTTCCATCCCTTTCAATTGTGGCTGCTTTAAAATTTCATATTTTTTTCTTTCTATCTAGATTAATTTGCTCAGAATATTTTGACATTCAGCCACACCCTTGCATATCTCAGTAGTTTATTTCCACTCATTGCTGAACATTCATTGTATCAATATAGCAGAATGTATCTTTCCATTCTCCTGTTGATGCACATTCTATTTATTTTCAGATATTGCTGAGTATGAAGAAAGCTGTATAGACATTTTTATGTAAATCTCCTTGCAGATGTATATTTTCAATTCTCTTTAGTGTATATTTAGAACATGTGGTACCATAATACAGATATTTGTTTAATGTTTTAAGAAACTCTCAGTTTTTAAAGTTGTACTATTTTATATTCCTTTTTTGTTTGTTTGTTTGTTTTCCCGGTACCAGGAATCGAACTCATGACCTCGCGCTTGCCAGGCAGGTGCTGTGCCGCTGAGCTAAATCCCCAGCCCCCCATTTTATATTCCAATAAGCCATGGACAAGAAATATTGTCCTGCTTCATCAACATTTGATATTGTCAGTCTTTTTAGTTTTAATCATCCTAATGGATGCATGGTACCTTGACCTGATTTTAATGTACTTTTCCATGATAATTAATAATGTTAAATGTTTTTATTTGTTTCTAATTGGGTTATATGTCTTTTGTTTATTGAGTTGTAGAAGTTACTTATATATTTTGGAATAAAAGTTATTTGTCAGATAAATTCACTGGTAAAGTCACTATTTTTTGATAAGCAGAAGGTTTCCACTTGGATGCAATAGGATTACTGTTTCATTTTATTTTTGTTATTTAATATTTTAAGTATCCTAAGAAATATTTGCCTATTTTCATGTTGCAAAGATAATTTCCTGTATTTTCTTCTAGAAATTCAACAGCTTATTTAAATGTACAGTAATTCTATGATCAGTGTTGAATTGATTTTTATGCATTTTGGGTGGTGGAGGCTGGGATCCATTTTTTCCTCGTATGAACATTTACATAAATCTACTGAATGCAGCATCTGTAAAAACTGTCATTTTTTCTGATACAAAGAAACTGCCAGGTGTGGTGGTGCATGCCTGTAATCCCAGCACTCAGGAAGCTGAGGCAGGAGGATTGCTGCAAGTTCAAGGCCAGCCTGGGCTACAAAGTGAGCTCAAGGCCAGCCTGAACTGCACAGTGAGACCCTGTCTCAAACCAAAACAAAACAAACAGCAGAGACAGCTAGCATGTGGCTTTTGACTCTTACGCTTCTTTGTCCTTCCTGCTTGAGTTGGAACAATGAGATACAGAGCGAAGAAGCCATTGTACACATAGGGAGGGAAACCCCACTTTAAGATGGTAAAATAGAAGGCTAAAAGGCACTTAGAGGCTGCAGATGCAGCTCATGGACAGATTGTTTCCTAGCATGTGCAAGGTCCCAGGTTTGATCCCAAAAACTGCAAAAAAATCAATACTAAAGAACTAAAAACAGAAGGGTAACTGAGATCCAGGTGAAAATATGGAACTTTTGCCTCCACTCTGATTTGCCAAAACTTGCACACTTTTTCATGTAGAAGATCAGTCTGCTAGTTTATGAATCCATCGTGGTTAGACAAATAGAGACAAGTGACACACACTTTTCTGTTCATAACTTTCCAGTGATTTTGGAATAAAATCCAAACTTGTCACCGTGGTCTGCAGAGCCCTATGTAATACAAACCCTCACTGTCTCAAAGACCTCTTCTCTTACCAGTCTCCATCCACACGACTCACTCCCCTCCTGTCATACTATCACTGCATTTCACAAGCAGCCTTGCTTTTATCTTTGCTGTTTCCTCTGAACAGAAGCCTCATGCCCATCTCCTCACATAGCTTTTTCCCTCACTCAGTCAGGGGTCGCTTTTTCATAAAGGAGTCTTTCTTGACTCAACTCTACAAGATGTCACTTGTGTCCTGCTCTATGATCACCATGCTCTATATGTTTTTGTTCCTTCTTTATGGTTTTATCACTCCTTAATACACATGTTTGTGCTAAGTGATGATTTGCCACCCTTTCCTGAATGGTAAACTCTTGAGGCACAGGGTTTTTATTTATTTATTTTTATTTTAAAGAGAATACAAAAACAATTAATAGATACAGAATTTCACGAGATAGGAAAGTAACAATGCTTATTATATTGCATATTGTTATCCTCAAAGGAGTTGCTCAGATTACCAGATATAGGCATTCACAATCGATCAAACAATATAAGCACTAACTGTTCCTTTCAATGAGCTAATAGAAATTAGTAGTATAATTATCTTAGCTATCCTGTGCGTGTGTGTATATATATATGTATATATATATGTGTGTGTGTATGTATATATATATATATATCCTTTCTTTTCTCTTTTCCCCTATCCCAGTTGTTCTTTCCTTTTGAGAAGTGTCTTTCCCTTTCACAATATCTATTGTACCTTTTGGATCTTATGTACTCTCAGTTTCTTACACTAGTGGTATTTTTATACAATGGAGTATTACTCTGCTATAAATAAACTCGAGGCTTTTATAGGTAAATGGATGCAACTAGAGACTATACTCATAAGTGAAATAAATCAGACCTTTGTGTGTAAACATTTTATTGTCTCCGTAGTGTAGACTCAGGCTTTTGTCACGCTCACCTATCACTATTCTAAGCTCCTAGAATAGTGCCCAGCTCATAGTAGTTGCTCAACCAATGTTAACTGCTTAATCTTTAGAATCTGTAGGAAAATTTAGGGTTTTTTTCCTTTTGATTTTGAAGTATGAAGAGCCCTGGAACTGTCACAAAAGTGTTTCCTGCTGTGAGATACACTAACTGAAGAAAAAAGGTAGCACGTAAAGTGGAAGAGGCAAAGCAAAACAGAGCCTGTCATGTTGTGCACTTGTGGGTCAAACTTGCATAGACAAACCAAAGCTTAAAACTGACGCACTGATGGTCTTTTCACTTTTGTAGACCTTCTCGTTTGTTTGAGGCACTCAGTTTAATTTTCTGGTTGTTT